GGAAGGGTGGACAGTACCCAGGGCAAGACAGGCACCAACACCCCTGCTAGCTCCCACCATGTCCCTGTGCCTGCACCAGTGGTTCCCAAACAGAGTGTCCACCCCCCAGCCCACTCCATCCTGGCAGGAGAGCAGCAGTGTCCTGTGGGGATGGGCATCATGCCAGGCACTCTGCCGGGGGCCTGGGCCACGGCTGCCCATATCCCGCTCTGTGGTGCACCCATGGAGCCTGCCTCGGGCCAGCACCACAGAGCCACAGAGCAGCACCCGGGCTGGGGGCAATGTCCCCTGTAAGGGCAACGCCTCAGATGACCCATGCCAGTGAGAGGGTGGGCATCACCCTCGCAACCCCGCAGCCTTGGGCAGGTGCTGGCATAAAGACCTCGGAGCTGGGACAGCCAAGCCAGGCGAAGCCGTGGGCATGGTGATGCCTGCACCAGCTGACCTGGCTGCACTCAGCTCCACAGGGCTCCGGGTTGCTCTGCCCACCCGTGTGTCTCAGTGCCATGGTCCCTGGGCTTTATGCGCATCCCTCAGCTGGGGAAGGTGAGGCATGGGGCAACCTGGCTGTGCCACGGGGCCAGTCTGGGAGTGGACCCCCAGGCTCTGTGCCTGCTCTGGGCAGTGACAGCTCCCAGCAGTTGGCACAAAGGTGCCAAGCCCGCTGCCAGGGAGTCGGCACGGGGGGGGGAGCTGGAGTGGCTCTCATCGCAGCGGAGCACCTGCTGGGCTCCAACTCCCCTCCCCTGGGACCCAGGGAGCTCCTGGCCCTTTAAACCCTGATTGGGGCCGTGCCTTTAAAATGGGCCCCGGGGGCTGCACCTTTCACCCTGCAGGAGGAGGCTGGCCAGGAGCAGGTGGGGTGAGCGAGCTGGTCCTTCCCACCCTCCCCACACCATCCCACTCCCTTGCCCTGGCACTTTTACAGTCCCTGTAGCCAGGCTCCTCTCTGGCTGGCTTTGCCCCTGGTCTAGGTTTTAGTCTGGGTTTTGCACCTCTTTTTTTGCATACAGAGTGCCCCCCCC